ATGTATGTATGTATGTATGTATAATTATCATATTTTTGCATACTTTTGCTGCAAAACTCCCCATCTTTATTGGGTTTACCAACCCCCGTTGCCGCGCTGCGTTCGGACCTGGAGTCCCCGACGGCCTCATGATGAACTCTGGCGCACCGGTGGACCTGGAGGCCTGGGACATTCGCCTGCGGATCGGCGCTGGGGATTCAGCTTTGATCACTATATAGATATATAGATCATCTATACCACTATAGTATATAGTATTATATAGTGTATAGATGATCTATATCTGTATATATATATATATAGTGTATATATATATAGTATATGATGTATAGTGTGTACATATGAGCCGCGGCTCATATATACACAAATAATTTGGTTCTTGGTTGACTATGTAGGGTTTATGGGAATTAGAACTACGTATAGTTAATGGGTTGTAAAAACCAACTTGTAACTGGGGGCACCACTTGTATGATAGAAAATACTCTATAGATCTATATGGGTTATGGGTCAAAATTGGGTACACCAATAATTGGATGCTGAATAAACACTCGACTAAAATCTGTGGTCCCCAAGGTCTTAAAATTTGACCCATACCCTAAACATCATACTAAACTGCACCAGTAATGAGACCCGAATTCACGTAAGCTTCCCATATTGTTGGGTTTTCTTACCGTGAGTAGTATGGAACATTATGGAACTGGTATGGACACGGGGGTCCCATAATTGGGGCGATTTTCCAGCCACGTTGACACCGGAGGGTAGATGCACATTTCGAATATCATCAGTTCTGTATGGAAAAAATCAGCATTTTTAACCTAGGTATTGACCTACAGCCACCCTTTTCATTTTGGCCTCTCATTCTGCTGTTCCAAATAGATGCGCGTGGCTTTCAGCATGGCACCACGCTCTCCCATGTCCTCGCCAGATCTAGAAACAGTCTGGAAGGATGTTGTGTTATACTACAAATATAGTCATCACGAAGTGGATAGAACATACCACAACTTCAAGCCTTAAACAACTTACCTCATGTAACAAAACTATCAAAAAGAAATCCACAAGCGCGTGGCAACAAGCTGGATGGCTCATGCTGCACATTGCTTCAATAAAGGGTAGGAGCGGCTGAACATATGAAATCATACCGCTGAACTGTTGCCTGTACTCAAACATATCTTCAATTGCAGCGAAGTGTTGGGTTGTCTTTTGAAATGCCAATGAACACTGCATCTTAATGTCTCTATAGTTATCTTCCAGAAATACGTTCATACGTTCAGTCAGAGAACCTATTGGCCGGCACTTCGTGTCACTGCGAAGCTAAACGTGTGCCATGATCAGAAAACCCTGAGACTGATCGTGTGGATGGTCACTGGTCCCTAGGTCCTAGGCGGGTTGATTAATAGACAGGCAAACACCATTAAATTTTGGAGAAAACAAGAATGCTTCAGATACCTTAAGTATCTCCAGAGCCACACACGGTTATTGTATGTTGTTGTTGTTGTTTGTGAAGTTTCCAAGTTGTTTATCTATGTTGTGTAATCCTGATGTTCCAGGCGACCAGTCAGCACCAGCAGAGTCCTCCCCTTGTACCACGAACACAGGCACCCGCATCAGCATGGTCCTTGGCTGACCAGAAACAGCCAGATGCTTCTGTTGCAACTTCATTGTTCACCAATTACAAGGGGGACAAAGCCAAGAAACCCTGAAGTTGGCTGAATTACGAGACAGCGCGCATGCCTTCCCACCTAATTAAACAATATTTAACGTGATGGAATCTTCAAAACTATTAGCACCTCCTCCGCTCAACATTCGTGACCTGGGCCCCTGGACGTTACACGGCCCTTGTCCAAGAAGGCCTGGTGCTGGACAGCTCTGACAGCTGCATGTTATCTGTTGTATACCTGTTGTGCAACATATTCGTTTAACATCGTTCAACATGCATCAAATATGATATATTCATATATCATATAGTGTATAACATATATATATACTTAATTATACGTATACAGTACCTAATATTCATTGTTTAAAATGTCCTGTATCTGATGTGCACATGGAACACAATATAGTAAAATGTGTACACAAGGAGGATCAATGAGCACGAATTGTCAAATAGGAGGCAATCGTAGAATCGTTGGAACAATCAGATGTCTGCATGCATGTGATAGATCCTCCAGCAAGGAACACAGAAGCGAAGTAACCGGTGATTCATGCCCATACTGCAGCGGGTTTCAGGCATCCTAGTCAGACACATTGGAGAAACAGGCGACATCAGGTGACCAAGCAAATGAGTCGGATTCAACCCAAGCGGGAATGGACGTTTACGGTTGATGTCTGATTCTTGACAATTCAGACCAGTTTTGGACATAATTAATCATCAACCAACCATCATTTATCATACCTATGATTGCAGGGTAAACTGTAGTAGCATACCTTTGGAATCATCGATTGATGTCTTGGAATTGGACGTTTGTTGTTGGCTGCTTGGACCTCTGAATCATCCAGATCACCCAATCCAGCTGCCGCCGCTGCCTCAAGGAAGGTACTTTGCCCCGTCGTCTTGCCACTAAGCCAGTCCTGTTGGCCAGGTGGCCCATGCAGCATCTGTCAAGTGGAGAATCTATGGCTGTAGGATGAATATTTGCCCCAGTACCACTAAGAAGATCTGAGAAGGTTTTATTGAATGGATGGACTTATCCAAACCTCTTCAAACGTTTGATTCTTTAATGAGCGCAGTAAGAACCATAGTGGTGCCATCGCAGGGCAATGAGCTTAGCAAAAAATCATTCTGAGCTAGAACCCTGCCTACGAGTACCATGTTCAGTGAATTCAGAATTTGAAGATAGAACTCGATTAGATAGAGCATCCAGGTTGCAAAAGTTTTGCGATTCTGAGATGCCCGAAATCGAGTTTGCCCTGAGAAAGTTCGAAGAATTTCACCTTGTCACCAAAAAAAACAATTGGAAGCATCTCTCAAATCAACATATCTGGCTTTTTCGGGGTTCCCTGTATTTCAGGGGTACCCCCATTTCAATCCATTTCAATCCAGTTCAATACAATGTGGTGCCCCCCAGTTATAAGTTGGTTTATATTACCCATTAACTATAGTTATATCTGCCATAAACCATAGTTATGGGAGTTATAAACCAACTTAGCTAACTATGGGGCACCACCGTGTAGGTTAACCATCCATTTTAGGGTACCCCCATTGTGGAAACCCCCTATATCAAACAACCGGAGCAACCTGTCCTTCATCTTGGAGGTCACACCACCTGTGAGGTACAGGCCTTAATGACGCAGCTGCAGCTAACCGACATACCCGGCCTGGTAAACGTTTACAAAAAGCTATAGAAAATGGCCAATTTATAGTTGATTTACCTATTAAAATAGATTAACATAGTGATTTTCCATAGCTTTTTGTATGTTTACCAGGCCGGGTACCTCATCTCAGATCTCATGTGACAGGATAATAGGATACAAGACCCAATGGGGGATTCTTATGGCAGTTCACTGCAAACCGAACTCAAGCATATTGCTGATGGTAGAAGGCCGTAAATCTCAGGAAGCTCCCGATCATCTTTGGAAAAGGTGATCAGTGTCCCATCCACTGAGACAGGCTTAGAACCGGACCGCCGAAAGGCATGTAGGTTAATGCTACGACACCCGCCTGACATGCCCCAAGATGTTTGGGAAACGTATCAAATAAACAAACCATAACAAACCATATAAGTTTTTGGGGACACCATTCTCAGACACCCCCAGTTTGGACAGTGACATTGATGTCATCTTCAATTTCTCTTGAAGAACAGTGATGCACATATACCGCATATACCTGATGCACATGTCACAACTTGCACGTGAACAATTCAGAATCTGTACATCTAGATTACATTCGTGTCGTAGTATGTTGTAGTAACATAGACCATTGCGCTTCTTCTGAGTTGCTTCTTGCACTGATCCACTTGTGGCCTCCTATTGAACTGCATAAATATGGGAGAGAGTCATCCCTCTGACACACCTGACGGTAGGGAATCACTGTGTGACTGTATCTACATATGATACAGGTACAATCATGTACATATCAAAATTTTCATGAACGACCTTCCCCACAATCTGTTGGTTCACAGAAATCAACATCTAGAGTTTCCCTTGGTGTTGAAACTGACCATACATACCCTATACCCCTCCTAGTAATCGAGCATTGCAACAACAAAAACCGCAATTCTTAATGGGAAATTATCTCTTTCATGTGGTAAACTTAATAGTAAAGTGTACCAATCTTACCAGAAACATGTGGTATAACCATGCAATAATCCCAGATAAACTAGCTAACATTGCAGCTTTCTTGGTTTTACCATCCCCTTGCAGATTAAGTCATTACCACATACTCCCCAATTCTATAGATATAAATTGGGGAGTACACCCCCCCCCCTCTATAGAGTCTATTTTCCTTGGGAAAGTGGCCCTCTATAGAATGTAAGAGTATGGGGTATCGACTTAATGCCCCATTTTTGTGGAATTCCCCTCTATAAAATCAGAGCTGTCATTTTGTGCATTTCTGAAGGGAGTCACTTATACATATCCCAAATTTGATTAATAGATCCTATTGAGGGGGGGGGGTGTACTCCAGCTGAATGGGGTTAAAGCCCAACATGAACACCCGAGAACACCCGTTCTTCTGATTTCTCTGCCGTGTCGAGTTTGTCGCTTGCATCCTTCGCTGCATCATGATCTTTCCTTCTTAAAGCAAACAAGTTTTGCTATGTGGTGTGTGTTTTTTTTAGGGAGAAGCTTACTGACCTTTTTTTTCTAAGGAAAAAATCACTTGTCAGCTTCCAAAATTCTGCTCTCACCAATTTTGTTGATGAGTTGAATCCAAGGCTTCCTATCCGGGTGCTCAGCATCCAGAGCAGTCTGGATGCTCTGGAAAGTGGACTGCACTTTTGCAGACCATGCTGCGGATGACAAGGTATTGTACCTGACCCCAAAACGGCCAAAAACAAAATCGATTAAAACAGCTTAAAATAGGAAAACATAGACTTGAAATGACTTGAACTCATCTTGAAAATTCTTAACACACCAGGGAACCCTGAACCTCCCAAATCACCCAAATCAAACTCGACAAGGCACACAATCTTGAAGTATTTGAATGCGGACTCGAGAAAAGATTCCCAGGGAACCTCCTTGCACTTTCCCACCTTCAACCTGCAAAGGCCGTCTGCATTGAAGAGGGTGTTGCCGGGGAACTTGCTGTCATCCAATTCTTTCATCATCCTCATGTGTGCCTTGACTGCTTTCTCGCCAACAGGGGTCCTGTTGAACTTTACATTCCCTGCCTTCCCAGAATCTGTGTTCTTCTCATTTTCATCACTGTTTTTTTTCTGCTGTTTCGCCTTCTTCAACTTTGCCTTCACCCTTTTCGATGCTGCCTTGATGTTCAGTTTTTTGGTGTCTTTGGCCTTCGTGTCTCCCACTTTGCGCTTTCTTCCATGTCTCTGCACAAAGAGTCCGGCATGCTTCACTGGATGTTGGGGATCAGAATCTTCTGGCAAGAGCGGCCACCAGTCAGCAACCGAGTGACTCTCCTCAATCAAAGCCAAGGATTTCTCAGTGAGACTGATCGAACAGCCCTCCGTCTCATCCTCGAACTGGGTATGGTCAAGAACAGCTACAATGGACTGTGGACGAACGACCCACACAGCTGACTCATTTGAGCACATCCAGCGGTGATCACCACCAACACTCTTTTTCTCCAAAACGGCAATCCTGACAGCCACGGTATGCTCAAAGGAAACAGTAGTCGTGGCCAACTTTGGTTTGCGTGTTGTGGTCCACACGGAGAGAACCAAAGCCACCGCAGCCACATTCTTTGAAAACTTGGGCACCAGCACCAGCACAATGTTTCCGCTCCTCGGCTTTTCAAATTTCCCCGAAAAGAAAATCTCACATATTCCCAAATAATATCAAATAATAATCCCATATATTCCATTATATTCCATTATATTCCCAAGATTTCCCAAGTTAGATATAGTTGGATAATGTTAGATAAGGATTTTAAAAGTTGGAAAATAAGGCAGCAATGCCATTGAATGCCTAAATTCTCCAAACCAGACGGAATTTTCACGGAAGATTTTCTCTCTGCAGCAGCTTGCTCTGCCAATTCTCGCCACTTGGCCAAGCGGCCAGCACGCTGTCGGAAGGAATTGGTCTCCTCCTCGTCAGCCAGCTCTTTGAGTTTCATCTCGTTGAACCTGAGCAGGAAGGATCAGGAAGGTGTGTACTGAGCCAAAGGGTCTCTATAAAATCAAAAGACCCAATATCGAACCAAAATCTTGGGACATTTTGGAACTATATAATCAGGGACCCCAATTCATTGAACCTCAAAAGGGGGGGATAGGGGGGGTGTTTGCTTAGCTAAGGGTCCTCTATAAAAATGATTTTCCAAACGTCGAGGAAAATTTAGGCACTATAGAATCATAGACATTCATAGACATTCATAGATATTCATAGATCATGTACATAGAACAGGCGAACATGCATCATCATGCATCAATGAACATCATTAAAAAATATTAAAAAATATTAAAAATATTTAAAAATCATTGAACATCAATGTATAAATTCATCATGTAAAGATATGTAAAGGTACTGGTACCAGTTGAGCCCTGAAGTCTTCCGTCGACAGGCTCTGGGATTCCGAATCCAGTGAACATCACCTCCTCCACGCCAATAACGGATGGACATGAGCAATCTCCACAAGCGATCAAAGACGACCACTGCCGAAGAATCGGGATTCAATGGGTACATTGCCTGAAACAGAGTCTTGGGGGTTCCTGTCAAGGTCTCTGGACCATCCAAGTTCTCTGAATCCAAAGCAGCTTCCTCTGAAAAAGCAGCCTTGAGCTCCGCATTGTCTGGTACGTGTCGAAGTTCAAAATCAACAGGATCTGCGCTCTGCTCTGGAAGGTCACACTCCATGTTGGCCTCATCCTGCAAACTCTTCAGCAAACCAGCGGCATCCTCACCAACTTCAAGCTCATCGTCTTCCTCGTCCATGTCGCCGAGCACTGCTCGAAACTGACCACATTCACACCATTCCCGGTACTGCATCTCCAAAGACTCAACAGAAATAGCACTGGCCCAAGAAACCAAACGAAGTGCTGACTTCAAGGCACGCCTGCTTGCCAGCAAAAAATCTTCTTTGGAAATTGGTTCCAAAGAGTCACTTGGGGGTTCACAAGGCTTGCGACTCTTCATCGCCCTCACCATCTCCCGTGCAGCAGCCTTCCAGAAGGACCTTGCAGTAAGCTGTGCGGACACAGATTGGGTCCGCAAGGACCCAAAATGTTCCTCGACTGCAAGCTCGGTGAGTCTCTGGTGTCCTCGGGCGAACGGATTTCCGCTCTTGCAGCCCGTCAAGGACACTGCAATCACTGCCAGACCAACATGCTGGACATTTCTCATTGTCTCTGGGTGCAAAAAAAATGTGGATTTGGGTAGCGACAGCTTCCCGCATCGTTGGTCAGCAATCAGCCGAAACAAATCCATCAAAAGGTAGCCGCTCATTGAATTCTGCACCCTGTCGACAGTTGCCATCGTCTTGTGCGACAGGGGGCCCTGGGCTACACCAGGTGAGGAACCAACAATTCCATTGTATCCCATTACTTCCATGCATGTCCAAAACCGACCGAAAAAAAAACAACTGCAAAATCCTTCAAACTTCTTTCCCGTCAAACCCCAGGAATCAGCAAAACGTTTGGGTCCCATCCAGCCCCACCAACTTTCCAAGGAACGGTGTTCAATGCCACGCACAAGTTCAAGAGGCAAAAGCCACGTAGCGACCATGGAACCAGAGCATGTTTTCCAGCAATGTCCTTCGTAGAGGCTAGGGAGACAGAGAGACAGTCTTGGACAGTTTTGGAGCGAATGAAGTTTCTGAAAAATCATCTGTGTCCCACCATTCCTGACATCATGATATCTTCAGAATTCTTCAGATATCTTTTGATTTTGTGAAATTTGTTGAACAGGAACCCCCCAAAAAAACATTTTAAAATAAAAATATTAAAAGATATGAAAAGTAAACATAAAAAAACAAGATCTGATGAGAGTCTGGGGAGGACAGGACATAGTATGGATTGAACATGGCACAGTGTAATGAATCCGACATGGGTTCAGAACGCCTGTAAACTGCCGGCGGCATGCCCCATCGTCTACAAGCCGAGGTGTCGCAAAAGAATTTCCCAAACATCATCGATCTCAATGGTGAGCACAGGGCTCCTCCAACGTTCTTCACCGCATGACCTTGAAAGCTGCAGGTCAGAACACAATTATGACAGGTAAAAATTGTTATATATATATATGATATATTATGATTTTATATGATTTTTTATGTGTTTTTTGTTGTTGTTCATGTTTTTTGTTGTGTTTTCTGATTGCTCATTATTTTTCATTATTTTTTCATATATTTTTGATGTTTTTTTTGCTAATAGCAAGTTTTCCACCTGAAAAAAACAAATCCCTACTCTATAAAATCAGAAACCCCAAAACACAGCCCCCTCCCCTCTCTATAAAATCAGACACCCCCAAAAACAGCTCCCCCCCCTGCCTCTATAAAATCAGAAACCCCCCAAAAAAGCACCCCCCCCCCTCTATAAAATCAGAGAATGTATTATCTAGGCTAAATCTGGGGCCAATACAAAAACATACAAAAACATACAAAAACCATGTGAAAAACATGTTAAAAACAATACCTTTGAACTGATCCACTGAATGTTTTAGAACTGATTGTGGATATAATTTATTGAAAGAAATCATTTTTTAAAAAAAGTACCCCAAAAATCCAAAAAACACAAAAATGCCAAAACACCAATCTACAAGACATGGCCAGGCCCCAGGACTTGGACCCCAAAACGGGGAGATACAACGGGGAACAGCACAAAGGGAAACCAACAACAGGAGACCCAAAGAGGGGAAAACACAAAGGGGAAATGAAAAAATGCTGCTTTTATAAATTTTAAAAAAAAGAAAGATGTGAAAATGAAAGATGTCACTTTCATATAAAAAAAGAAAAAGCAGCTTTTATAATTTTTATAAATTTTAAAAAAAGAAAGATGTGAAAATGAAAGATGTCACTTTTATATTTTTTTTTAAAATGAAAAAGCTGCTTTTATATTTTTTATAAATTAAAAAAAGAAAGATGTGAAAATGAAAGATGTCACTTTTATAAATTTAAAAAAAAGAAAAAGCTGCTTTTATATTTTTTTATTAAAAAAAGAAAAATGTGAAAATGAAAGATGTCACTTTTATATATTTTTTTAAAAAAAGAAAAAGCTGCTTTTGTAACATATTGAAACATTAAAATTGAGCATATGTGCTGTTTTTTTTTAATATGTTTGAATGTGGATGAATGTGGTATCTAGGAACTAGAAAATTTCAGAGTCAGGAGAAAAAATATTGAAGCAGATTGAAGCATTCAAATTGTGATCATGTTGTTGTATGTTGTATATGGTTGTATAATATTGTATATGTATGTAATTGACTGCAATTGTATGTATATGTGTGCAATTGTATGCATATTTTTTTTTACATTGCTATACCATTTTAATATATCTAAACCATTCTAAAATCCATGCTCTGCCATGCTATGCCAATTTATAATTGTTTTGTGGCTTTTCTCTTAATATTTTGTTTTTAATGCTTTTAATTGCTTTTATATGGTTTTTATCTTTTAAGGTGACCCAAAGGTTTCTGATTTTATAGTGATTAGATGTAATATCGATATGGGGATTCTGATTTTATAGAGAGATTTAGAAGGCATGAATCCCTCAAATTCCACCTCGGCTTTTAAAACCAAGCCACATGCACCACTCAAGCACCAGAACGGTTCACCATGGTCCATGCATATCTGCAGAGGCAGCCTGGGAAGCTCATGAGGAGGCAGGGGAAGAAAATCCAAATCTTTGAACCACTCGATGTCAGAAATCATTTCCCTGCTGCAGAGCTCAAAGGCACCAAGCAGTACATCACGAAGGAAACGATGCGAATGGTGTGCATCAAATGCTATGCCCTTCAGGATCCAATGTGAAGATCGCATCAAACGAGAGATCACCAAAAGCATCTCCTTATCATTGACATTCATTGCCGATAAATCAAGTTTGTTGAATATAACATTATAATACATTATATAACCATATAATACATTATAATACCATATATATCCATATATAACATTATAATACATTATAATACATTATATAACCATATATAACATTATATAACCATATCATACCATATCATACCATATCATACTTTATCATACTTTATCAATCTATCATACCATATCATACCAAATCTATCCATATCTTAAAAACATTTAAAAACATAAACCATCTTGAAAAATGAAAACTAGTAAAGCATAGTAAAACATAGTAACACAATGTAACACAATGTAAAACATAGTAAAACATTCTCATGGTATCTTATGTTTATAAGAGCTTCGTGGTTTCCGGCATGGGTCTTGGATGGAAAAGTTCCCTGCTGGGCTGCAAGGGACATGGGCATGCTTGCCAAAGAGAATGTGCTACGGCGAGCAGCTGCAGGGTCCCAAGTCACTGCCTCAAGCATGACAGGTGCTTTGGCCGCTTTGTCTGGAAGTGAATCTAAATTCAGGAAGGCTTCGGTCTCTGAAGTCGGTGACCACGGACCTCCCACCAAGCCAGGGACACCCTGGTATTTCATCTGAGAATGTGCACGGAGAAGGTATGTACAATCTACTGCTACCACTAGCCGCTTGGCTGGAGATGTAGGCAATCTGCCAAACAACTGGTCGACCAGTGTTGCGTTCTCACTCAACTGGTCTTCGCACATAAGAGCAAGCATTGGGTTTGGGAGAGACATTCCTGGCAAATCGTGCAACTGGATTGTTGGGCTTCTCGCATTTTGTCCTAGATCCACCAGAAGACGGCGATTGGCACCAGAGGCTACGGCAAGGGACAGTGCTGCGTCTTGAACCAGCCGATGCTCTGTCTCATTCAAGCAGGCAGTCCTACCTCTGTTTGAGGTAATGCCTCTGCTTTCTTTGTCTAGACGCCGGAGACATCTGACTAGGATGCCTTGCATCATCGGATGAGCGCCCAGTTTCTGCGTCACTGCCGCCCGGGCAATCATTGCGTTGACTTCGCTCAGCTCCTGCAATGCACAAATGCATCCCAAACCAACCAAAACATACCGAAACCACCCTCATGCATCAGAAATTTTCAGAATCAGTCAGATTTCTCACTTGCTGCTATCAACTGTATTCAAACGACTTCAAAATGCAAAAGGATGCAAAAGGATCCAAAAACACCCATAAAATTCCATAAACATCCATAAACGATGGTGTCTTATGGATTCTTGTCGGTTCCAATGGATTCTTTGGAAAGTGATGCAATGTGAAACAAGTCGAGGCAACCCTGAAGAATCCCAAAGCCACAAGCTCCTCCTGAGCATTGCTAGACAAAGCATTGAGAAACCGTTCTGACAGAGTAGCCACATTGGAATCTACTGTCCCCACATGGACAGTCAAACAAGGACTCACCACCGAAGCTTTGAAGGCAATGGTATTTGGAGTTTGCTCTTCTGGAGGTAAGGAGCTCCAAGCTTGCCTCACAAGTTTCTGCAGTTCATGGTTGGATGCTTCAAGCAATGACTTCCAGCTTGTCTGCTGCCTCTGGGCAAAGGCACTGTTGGCTATGGATGCAATGGCAGCTTGAAGCTCCGCCTCTGTTCCGAACAACCGGTGCTGAAGCAAACAGGCTGCATGAAACTTGAAGACAAATCGGAGAACGGACTTCTGTACACGGCGAGGAATGCCAAGATCAGCACACTTCTTGCAGCACTTCTCACTTGAATCCCTGTCTTTCGAAAACTTCTTTTCACACTCAAAATGTCTTACAAACCATGAGTTGGAAGACAAGTCAGTGGTGTACTTGTGCTTGACACTGGTATGGCTCAAATTGGCATGGGTTGCCCACAAGCGAAACTCATCACGGTAGAGCTTCAATGTTCCAGAAGACTGGTCACTAGTGATCTCATACCCTGGACACTCACATTCCTCTGATGGACAATCAGCTTGCTGGGTCAACTGCTCCCGCTGTGCCATATTATGAAGGTGGGTAGGGCTCTCCAAATGTTGAGTCAAGTAGTGCTTGACATATGCAAATCTTCGTTTCACTAGTGAATTCACCTTCCCAAACGGCTGTGTGCGTGTTGTGCAAGCAATGCATCTGTACTTGAGGATCTGGCCGCCTTCGATCAGTTCAATGATCGGAGCAAATGATTTCACAAACTCAACGATTTTGGCATACTCCTGCTCTGGAGTCAATCCCTCCTCACCATCTGCTTTGTCAGAATGTTCCCCTTCCACTGGGTCTTGGGCATCCACTTTGTCGACCGCATCTGGCTCAGCCGCGTCGATGACACTCATCAGGGTGGGAAAGTCAGCTGCATTGACTCCATGTTGTTCTAAAAGCTTCAAACAAATGGAACACTTTGGTGTCTTTCCTGAGCGCAAGGTCTCTTTAAGGCCTTTCCAGGTTTCTTCCTTGCAAGCTACAATTTTCTTGAAGGTGGACCCAAGTCGATGTGAGGAAAGGTAAGATTTGTAGGTAATCATCTTTTTGGCCATCCAAGCCTGAAGCTTTCTCATTTCGATTTCCCTTTGAGTCAGCACCCTACTCTTGAACCTACGCTCATGCCTGGCTCGTCGCTTACGATCATCTGCTTCAGCTATGATTTGTTCAAGCTCATCTTCATCCATGTCACCAAGATCTCCTAAGCCCGGGTCTTTGGGATCCATGTGCATTGCAGCAAAACTGTCCTCCAAATCTGGGCACTCTGCTTCCAAAAAGCTAGCCCTGGTCGAAGGGCCACTTCCAGGAGCACGCAAAGTTGGACAAGCTGGATTTTCATTCTGGGCAAAGGGAACAGGTTTGCTACTGTCAATGCGTTGGACTGCTCTGCGCCTAGACCCTGCAGGTGGATCAGGGGCTGGAGGGGTTCCCTTGTCTTGGAAAGGAACATCTTTTCTGGGCGGTGTTTTGACAGCATCTGCAGTTCCATCCTGGGAGCAAAAATGTTGAAAAAGTAGCTGCCAAACAGGCTCTCCGGCCACCTCTTCCCACGATTCTTTCAAGGACTCTCTGATTTCGTTGTGCTCTTCCCTACCTTCCTTACTTCCATGTGAGATTTTCTCAACATGATCCCATCCCATCAACAAAACACGGATGCTCCACACCATGCAATTCCCATCACCAGGAACTCGAACAGGAACCACATTTGCCTCCATGCACCGGCCAAAAAAATCAATCCAGCTTTTCAACTCATCAATTTGACACAGCAAATCCTGTCGGAGAGCTTCATCAGCTTCCTCCTTGTCCCCCTCATCTATCCCGTTCATGGCTTCCAAGTCACTGTTCAAGTCTTTCAACTTCTGTTTCCAACTGCGAGGCCCTTTGACAGTGAGGTGAGGAAGAATCTCTGGACTCAACTGTTCTCTAAAGAATGCTGGGCACCAGTGGTTTCTCACCTCATTCTGTTTGTATCCGGCATTGCAGCTGACCAGACACCAAGAATCTTCTGAAAAACGGTCAATTGGGCAGCCTTCTTGGAAAGTACCAGGGGGCAGCATCCCAGCAAAGAAGTCCCTAGAAGTCTGCACAATAGGGTTTCCATCTGCAGAGTCTACAACCACAGATAATATTTTCCCATTTTTCTCTGCAGCCAACTGACCATCCAACACATCTAGATGGTACCCAGTCTCCATCACTTTCTTGGCGTACTCCAAGATGGCAGCTTTCACTCCTCACCATCATGCTGGCAGGCTCTATAAACTCAGAAGCATCCCCAGGGAACCCCCAAACAGGCTCTATACAATCTGGCTCTCCACCAATGGTGGCACAAAGGAGGACTATAGAATCGAAAACACAAACCATCAAGTGGGTAAAATATGTTGGGTTCTGGATTGTATAGAGGGTAAAGGTGTATGGACAAGGAAAAGGACAAAAGCCAACCCTCTGATCAGCACCTGGGCTTGGAGGCTCTGTAGGATCAGAAAAAACCTGAATGGATGCCAAAAATGCACTATAGAATCAGTAACACTGACCCCAGAGACCCAGAAAACCCAATTTCAATGGTTGAACCCACCTTGATAGACAGGCTCATGCAGTGTCTATAAAATCAGAAACAATGCCCAGAATGATCAAATAAACACTATAGAATCAGAAAATCTCCAGATCACACTGCTGCCTTTTTGGTGGTTTCTGATTCTATAGGGGTACTCTGGGTAACTAAGATCATGGTTCTGATTCTACAGACCAAAGATAAAAGCCAAAAAATAATCAAATCTGCTAAGATTACTGAAGGATATTGAACTATGCTGAAATATATTGTGGTATAATGTATTATAATGTATTATATGGTATTATAATGTATCATAATATATTATATTAATATATTATATTATATTATATTAAAATTATATGGTATTATATGGTATTATAAAATTTGCCACCCGAACCACCCAGAGTCCTGAATCCACGTGTTGTCCAGCAGGATTGCTTGCAGGCGCGCTGGTAGTAGAGGGCTCCTTCTTCACGGAGACAGGGCGGTAGAAATGAAGATCAGGTTTCGCAGCCTCCATCTTCACTTTCGGCTCTGGTTCTTGCTTCACGGGTTGCTTGACGGGTTCTGGCTTGACCTGGATGAACTTTGGCGGCGCCATTGCCGATAGCTCCTGTTTGACTTTGCCAGGCTCATGCTTGAGAGTCCCCTCAAGCTTGACTCCTTTTGGAAAACAATACCTTGGGCCCTCCTCCTTCACGGCTTTGGAGTTTGGCAACATTGGAGAGTCAGTCAAATCCACGAGGCACTTGACCATGCAGGGACTGTCGGTATCATCAATCACAATGCCCTTCGGATCAGGAGAGCAGCGTATGGACTTGCTCACTGTAGAAGTCTTTCTAGGAGGAGTGCACGGGTACACCTCATTCTCTCCACTTTTTTCCAAGGAAAGTGATCCTCTGGCAAAGTCTCTGGCTTCTCTGAATGAGAAGGAGGACTCTCTGTCTCTATCTTCTCCTCACCACACCCAGAACTTGCATTCTCCTTCTCGATCTCCATAGCTTGAGCTTGCTCAGGCACGTGATCCTCTGGCAAATCCTCCGGCTGCTCTGGTTGAGCTGCAGGACTCTCTGTCTCCATCTGCTCCTCAGCACACCCAGCGCTTGCATTCTCCATCTCGGTCTCCCTAGCTTGAACTTCAGGCTCAGGCAAGTGATCTGGTTGACTTGTCTCCGTCTTCTCTGCAGCACATCCAGCAGCAAAGTGATCTGATTCAGCAGCATTGCTCTCACGTCCAATCTGGCGATTCTCTTTCTCCTCGGTTGAGGCAGCATCAAAAGCCTGTGCTAGCCCATCCATCCAAGACAGAATCTCGCCTTCACTCAAGGCACCATCATCAGACCCATGACGATGAAAAGACTCAGGCAGCTTCCGTCGCTTGGGCGAGGGACCAGGCGTAGAACTTCCCAAAGCGTTCTCCCCCCGGACATTGCCAACGACCAGCGACCCAGAAGACACACCGTTTTCATCCTCAGTGGCCGCTCCAGCCGCTCCAGAAACAGAAGCGGAATTCACACCGTTCTCATCCTCAATGCCTGCTCCAGCCGCTGCAGAAGCAGAAGGATTCACACCGTTCTCATCCTCAGTGGCCGCTCCAGAAGCGGGATGAGCTGCGTTCACACCGCTCTCATCCTCAGTGGCCGCTCCAGCCGCTCCAGAAACAGAAGCGGGATTCACACCGTTCTCATCCTCAATGCCCGCTCCAGCCGCTGCAGAAGCAGAAGGATTCCCACCGTTCTCATCCTCATTGGCCCCAGCCGCTTCAAAAACAGAAGCAGGAGCACTCACAATGGCCCCAGCCGCTTCAGAAGCAGAAGCGGGAGCATCCTCAATGGCCGCAGCTGCTGGAGCAGCCCCAGCCGCTGGAGCAGCCCCAGCCGCTGGAGCACCCGCTGTGGCCCCAACCGCTGGATCCTCCTCCCCCAAGAAGCCAGACATAGTGCTTCTAGCCATAGCCTCTGGACGGTCCTTCACAGAACAAGATGAAGCCCTGACGAACTCCAACGATGGCAATATTATTCTATTATATTTTATATTATTTTATTATATCATATATTATCATGATATATTATGAATATATTTATGAATTATATTGAATTATTATAATTCAATTTAATTCATCTCAATTCCTTGGGGCGTGATTCGACTGGCTCAATGGTGTCTTGAAGGAAATCACCCTGACAAGATCAGACAGGTACATCCCACTCTAACAAGGCAGCGACTCCTGAAATGGTGGCAAAGGAAGGCCAACCTTCTCTGAGTGCTGAAACGCAGCTGAGTAGGATCGAAAGTAGACTTTGACCCCAGGAGCATGCCAATACCCTCGGTGCCAGGGGCCATCACTGTGCGAGTGCAAATGTCTGAAATAGACAAACTATGAGGAACTGAAATAAACTGAATATAACTGTATATTGAATCAAATGATTCAAAATGAATCAAACTGCTTCAACCCAAGGTAACCTGACCATACCTGACTTTTTTTTTACTTGACTTGGGAAGCAACCACCCATTCCAGCGTACAGCCGAGGTGCAATCAATGGTCTGCTTTTTTGTGGGATCTTTGTGGGGTGGCCGCTTCCGAAACTCCAACCGCCAGCCGCCAGGGAAGGTCATGATCTCAATTCAATGCAAGGAGCGCTGCAAAGAACGTGGGCAGGACAGAAATGTGTCCGGGATGGAAGAAGTTGAAAAATGAAACAATGATTATAGTCTTTCTATTGTTGCATTTTATTGAATAGTTAGGAATAGTATCATGGAATAGTTTTGAAATGTTTTGAGATGTTTTGAGATGTTTTGAGTATGTTTGAATACTGATGAATACTGTATCTTTATATTTGTATATAATCGAATATAATCGATTATAATCGAATATATTTGTATACACAATTATACAAAATTACTCATTGTATCTCATTGTGATTGCACCACATTTCTTGCAGCTGCGAGCCACCATCCAAAGGATTTCAAATGATTGGGATTCTTGTTCTCAAAACAATTCAACAGAAACTTGAAGGCTGACAATGAGTTTGCTAACCATTGCTAACCAATGGAACTAAAATGGGTTGCGCACAGCAAGATCTGCTAGCGTGATTTTGCCCCTTGCTTTCACTTTCACACATCCCACCAGTCACCAAGAATCACTGGTCATGAAAAACCACAATCACGCCCAGCATCGCAAAGTGGTGACGTCCGTCAGACATTGTTCAAGAATGTTCAAGACAGACAGTTTGGGAGCAGGATGGAACAGGTTTCTATTTGAAACAACCTACAGGATCTGATCATTTGAGTTCATTGCAGATCATTTGAAAGCAACCTACATGCTAATGCTACCGGGATCGTTCTAGAATCTTCTCTCAACAGGCTTGATTGGCAAACTAAAACTTGGAGTAGTTGAGCGCCGGCAAAATGCACAGGCTGTCAACTAAATTCACCTCACTTCACTACGCTAAAGAAAAGAGGCTATAAATTTCTACGAGGACACATACAAAAGATAACAAACTCATACGACAGCAAATAGACATTGTTGCATATGGTTGCAATATGTCGCAACAGAAGATTGTCTGTACATCAATGCCCCCACAACAATGGACAGGAAAGCCATGCTAGGGCACCGGAAAAAAAAATCCCTCATTCGGCATCAATCAGAAGATGAAGAGGCATCAGAATTGCTGCCGGCTAGGTCTAGATCAACCCGCCTGTGAATTGCTGTACGCCAGGCACGATACTTCAATTTGAACTCGCTCACTGTGACCCACTCCCAGCCAGGATTCCACGGCTCCTTCTTCAGCCAAATTCGCCAGCCCTTTGCCCTTAGCAGCTCCTTGGTCGTTGAGAAGGCACTATCCTGCAAATGCCCACAGCGCAAGGATGTCTCAAGAATGGCTTGCTCCCAGGCTTCAGCAAACTTGGCGGAGGAATGGTGCTTGATTGACCTGAACTTGCTACTGGGCTTGAACTGGCGGGGCACGCCACTCGTCCCTTTGGCGCCAGACGAAGCTGCTGAAGCAACCATGTCTCTGAGGCACTGGGATAACTAGAGGCTCCTATGAAACCTATGGGGATCCACACAAACCGTTGAGGATTCTTGGGGCGTCAAACTCCAGCGACAGATTTTTCTGAAACATTCTGAAGCAATATTTCAAACGACAGGCCGTACATCAAAAACCTCCAAAAGCATTCAAAGAACATCCAAGTCCATGTTGATCCCTCACCCACCCTACCATCCCTATAGAATCAGCAATCCTCTGCATGGGCACCCCAAGGATCACTATGGAATCAGAAACTGTGGTGGGAAGCAACCCAATAGTGGAGGTTACTGATTCTATAGTGGATGTGGGTGATTCTGGCATACCCAATCACTTCCCCTCCCCATGCCAGCGTCTTTGCTGGGTTTTGCTGCTGAATGCACCGGTAACTTGCGAGGACATCATCTGTACTGCCACCCAGACTGCAGGTTTAAAGGCATTACAAAGCGTTACCGGTAGAACACATGAGACAACGGAATAATAT